GTGTCCAGTCAGAAGCTATATGCACCAACTGCTAGCTAAGCAGTGGAGATGCACAGGTAACATCACTTACTGAATTTGTATTTGTAGGCCAGCCCAGTGAGGCAGCAAGCTTGGGCCCATTTTGTTTTCGTTCCCCGAATTAAGCCACACGTTCTCAAGTTTTTGATACAAACTTTTGATTTAATCCTGAATTTAAATCATTCACTGGATAATTGCTGGATCATTTTTATCCTTAGTTTGAATATCCCTCTGCAATGTTTTTTGTTTTGTTTTTTTTCATAGATTGCAACAATTATCAAAGGAGACAGTGACCCACTTTTCAAAGAGTTTGCTGTTTTCTTCATTCTTTATCTACAAGCGTGTTTATGTGTGTTTGTGTTTGGCAGAGATCCTCGCAAGTGATATCAAGCCCCCGCCCCCCCCCCCCGGTCTCTATGATTTAAAGAAGAGGATAAACATATTGAAAATACCATACGTTCTGCGGAATGCATACTAAATATGTAGGCCTTTAAAACTGTAGCATCAATGTGTTTTGACAATCAGACTAGTGATCAGTCTTATTCACGGGTGGCATACAAATATCTCATCTACATTATCTTTATCCGTCCTCCACCAATGCTCGCTCTGCTGTTTTTTTTTTTTTGTTTTTTGTTTTTTTTTTAATCTTTTTTTTTCTTGCCCACTTCTTTGGCTATCCTTGTCAGCTCTTCATTTCTCAATATATTCCTTTTTGTTTTGTCTTGCCAGCGTTTGGCCAACTCCAAAGCCCACACGTCACGCTTCATCAGTGCCAACCTACCCTGCAACAAATTCAAGAATCGCCTGGTCAACATCATGCCCTACGAGACCACGCGTGTCTGCCTGCAGCCAATCAGAGGCCTGGAAGGATCTGACTACATTAATTCCAGTTTTATTGATGGATACAGGTAGGAGGATGTGGTTGTGTGTATTGTCAGGACAGTTTTTTTTTGTTTGTATGTGTAAAAGGCACGGATGTAAGACAAGGTTTTTAAGCAGTAATAGGTCCTGCACAAGCGTTTGCATTACTGGCAGGAGGGCTTGGCTATGCAGTGGAACCTCAGAACGGAAACGCCTTTGAACGATGTACAATTCAAGAGTCTTAAGTTGCAAAAACCTTGAACCACAGTCATGCATATTGTCATGTGAAACCTCCGCATACAGTGTGAAAGGACTCAAGCAAGTAGTCAACATTTTCTTGGGCTTTTTGCCACATTCCCAAAAAAAGGACAAGCCTCAACCGGAGGGAACTTGAAAATAGAAGAATGCGCCTCAGAAGTAACCAGAATGTATACATGTATACAGACTCACAATGTAACAGTTACTTGACATGTCTGTGGCTCACTCAAGCTTATTTTTATCCTCTCTCTCTCTCTCTCTCTCTCTCTCTCTCTCTCTCTCTCTCTCTCTCTCTCTCCATATATATATATATATATATATACACACACACACACATGCATACATATATACTGTATACACACACATATATATATATGTGTGTATATGGCCCTGTGTGGCGATGTAGGCTTTCTGTTGCCTTTAGAAATACAGTTACATCATGTTACGTTACGTTATTTTGTATTAGAAATAACATACACCTGTATATACATATATATATATGTATATACAGGTGTATGTTATTTCTAATACAAAATAACGTAACGTAACATGATGTAACTGTATTTCTAAAGGCAACAGAAAGCCTACATCGCCACACAGGGCCCTCTGGCAGAAACAACAGAGGACTTCTGGAGAATGCTCTGGGAGAACAACTCCACCATTGTAGTCATGTTGACCAAACTGAGAGAGATGGGAAGGGTATGACATGAACGCACACACTCAACTCGTATCAATGGTATGATCCATTTTAGCCACGATTAAACGTCTTTATCCGTTGATGCAGGAAAAGTGTCACCAGTATTGGCCAGCAGAGCGCTCTGCTCGGTATCAATACTTTGTGGTGGATCCCATGGCTGAGTACAACATGCCTCAGTACATCCTACGAGAGTTCAAGGTCACAGACGCCAGGGTAAGAGGATCAGAAACGCAAATCAAGATCAGTGTCCCCAGCTTTTTTTTAGGAACCGTAAGCGGTAAACATGGAAGAAAAAAAAAATTGCCAGGTTTATTCTGAGCCCAATTATCTGGGATAATTTCAAATGGCAGCAGCACTGCAGCAACAACGTAAAACCGCTTCTGTTCTCCAACAAGGCTGACATCGGCAATTATTTCCCAGGCTGTGTGGCAGCTAGTTAGTTAAATGTCTTCCTGTTGCATATCAACCACCCCTCACACGCACGTGTCATATTGTAGTATGCACATAATCATGCACAGATACATCGTCGTAATTGCGTATGAATGCAGTGTTAGCTGGTCTACCACAACATTCAACCATCCAATTATTTTTATTCATATCCGTGAACTCTGCTGTACACGCAAACAATGCTGACGAAAATAATACTGTATTCAAATTTAATGATAAAAGGTAAAGAAAAGCAAATTGAATTACATTTGACTAAAATGCAGAGCCATAATTTTACAGCAACAAATTGTACCAGTTCACCATTACAATTGTGCTGGGGGTTTTTTTGGTTTGTTTTTGTATTCCCCCCCCCCCCAAAAAAAAATCAACATGAACCTCTTTGACAGCAATTTTGATCTGGCGTCACACATAACAGCACGTTATTAATCACAGTATCTCTGGAATAAAAATCAATTTTAACGCCAGCGTAAAAAATTTGATTGTTCAGCATTGTCGTTTCGTCTCACAAGGTCTTCTTGTATTTTATGAGAAGAGCAGCTACAGCAGCAAGTTAACTGACGCAGATCATCAATGTTGGAGAAAAACCAAAAACCAGCTTGAAACTGATAGTGCAAGTTAATTTTTCAAGATGTTAAGGCGAGAAGTGCTTCAATTGTAGCTGCGCGGGAGAGAAATGCGCGTAGGTTCTGCTATTTAGTTTCGGAAAAACATTAGCGCCTAGTGGGGAAACAACTAGAATCAACCCCATACAGTGTTGTCAATGCTTACATGTTTGTTTGATTAAATGAGCGTATGCTTGCGCACAATCTGTTGCAAATAGCATCGCGCGCCTGCCTCAACACTCACATCTCGCGAGCCAGTCACGTATTTAATCACACAATTTGACACGCAGAGCGGGCCCTCAGGTTGTGTGTTAAGATCCCCCCCCGCCGCCCCTCCTTACTGAGCACGTGGCCCATTGTGTTGCCTTTGCCTCTCTCATTTTATTTTTAATCCTCCGACTGAGGCGTGATGTTTTGCAGATGAAAGACAAAAGGACGAAAAGAAAGGAAACATGTTGTGTCGCAAAACATCAAGACAAACATGACATGTACAAAACCAGGTGGCGTATGCAGATTAGTGCGATCGAATCAGTTTACTAAACATGTAAGAGCACATTGAGGCACGAAAAGCCGTTGAAAACACCAACAGCTACGATTTAAAAACATTAAAAGGCGAATGTTGTGGATTTGATGATATTATTGTTATCCGGCAGTGAAATTCTTCGAAAGCAGTCATGTGATCAACGTACTGCATGGCTGATACATTCCATGGCGGGGCCGTGCTATGTCAATGAATATTTGTAATCGGGTGTTATGTCTCAACTTCCCATTTCCTTCAAAAATACGAAAATCGTTTTATTTCATGGTAACCTGACAAAACGTGCTGTGCATTTCTGCGACAAAAACAAGGCTTACATTTGTTGGCATATTTGTAGTTGCAGCTGAACTACTGGAGACAGTAAGAGCAATGTGGTTGACAGAAGCAGGGACATCACTTTCTATTTTCATCATCCAAACCCACAGCCCGCTAAACTAGTCATTTAGTCTCGCTTCTTAAGCCTCCACCCTCTCCCTCAACACTCTTCCGTCAAATTGCGCTATCGATCACAGGATTACACTATTCTACACGGTGTCTGGGACAAGACGCGTGGCATCCCAATGCACTATTGATTAGCTTCAAGTGGGAGCCATCGCACACTACACACCAACAAAAGCAGCAGGAGAGTAAACTGAATCATATTGCGAGACAAGGATACTTTTTATTAGACGACACTTTCAACCTACGCAAATGCTCGATGATGTGTTTCATTTTGACACAAAATATGACCATTAGTGGTGAAGGTATACTGTTACTCGGGAATTTAATCCTTTGACATTTAATGTGGTGGGTTTTTCCCATCCACTATCAATCTCATCAATATCCAACTCAGGATATTACTTGTCTACCTTAAAACCTTCACATATTTCTTCAGATGCTGGCAAGGCAAACACTGATTTTGAATATCTAACCCTTTTTCAGTGTTCACAATCAGTCCGTGTCAAATTGTATTGTTGAGCTTCTGAAAACGACGTCTTGCCCGATGCTATGGCAAGATCATAAAGACGGCTGAGATGGGCTCAGGCACGCCCACGACCCTTGTGTGAGGTTAAGCAGTTCAGAAAATGAATAAACTTTCAATAAGAAACATCCCAAGTTATTTGCGATGGCGAAGATGAAAGGTGCATTTCTGCACCACATGCCAGTAAACACTTTGCAGGGACTACACACTTATCACTGATTTCCAATGTATTTTATTGATACGATGTCTTTTTTTAACCACTCTGTGTGTTTTTTTATGTCGGTGTTAGGCACTCTTTCTTTGCTACTCTCACTTCTTCCATGTTTCGGCAGGATGGCCAATCCAGGACAGTAAGGCAGTTCCAGTTTACCGACTGGCCAGAGCAAGGCGTTCCAAAATCCGGCGAAGGCTTCATTGATTTTATTGGCCAGGTGCATAAAACCAAGGAGCAGTTTGGACAGGATGGACCAATCTCTGTCCACTGCAGGTGGGAGCACTCTTAAATTGGTTGGGGGGGGGGGGATACATCGACCCTGAGTTTCAGACTTAAGTCACTCCACTGCCAAGGACTTTTTTTCATGTATTTTTTTTTTAATCACGTGGTAGGGTAGAGGAGGGACTGAAAATGGCTGGCACTGATTAATAAACCAATAAAAAAAAAATACATTTTAAACTCTTAATAAGGTTTTCTGTTGAAGAGAACAACCCCTGCATCTCATGACAAGCTGAAAACCAAAGGCAGTCACTTTTTTTCTCTTTTTTTTTTAAACCAACACTAAAGCCGACCGTCTTCTGTGGCGTAGTCCTCACAGTATCACCAAGTATTATACTCACTCTCTTTGCCATGGTAATCCTGTGGACCTCCACAGGCCCATTTCTTTCATAATTGATTAGGCTGAGATGCAGCCTGGCATTTGCAAAGGGGAGGAACATGAAATAAAACAGCCATTCTTTTTGTTTTTATGATCCATGATGGATTCTAATACCCGGGGTGTAGATTCCAAGGTAACCTACATCATTAACGCTCGATGCTGGACTGGTATTTGCTTGTGGTCATAATCCAGAATTCAGATTATTCATATTTAGTGATGGTCTTTGAGAAGGATACGTCTTCTAGCTTTTGTAACTAAAAAATGGAAAACCCCCATCTCCTGATCATTTTTCTTATGGAAAAAAAAATAGTTTGGAGAAATATGCTGTGGAGCATTAAACGTAGCATCACCTTTCCCCATGTTAGGAAGATGATGTCACCAGCCGTCAAATGGACTGCTGAGATTTGTAAGCGTTGTCAGTGGAGATCTTGTTGAGGAGAGTCAGCTTTTCGTTTCTTTCTGGCTCCCCTTGGACACAGGTTCTTTTATCTCTCTGTAAGGTGGAAGAAGACCCAACACCACGTCGTCTTTCTCTTCAGTTTATCACAACACAACACGAATCGATTCGGGCTCCTGTGAGTCTCAGATTTCATCAGGAAGCCCCGAAAAAATACAGTCTCACGTATATATAGGCATAGTACGTTAATTATATTAATGAGGGGCGGGCAGTCCTTCCCCTTATGTAAAAATCAGAGACAAAGAAAGGTCAACATAGTTCAATCCTTACTTGGTTACAAATTCCAGACCACATCGGCTGTGCATTAACCATGAGTTTTAGAGATCCCTGCCCCAGGGAACTGGAACTTGATAGCCCTGAAGAATTCCACGAAGATGGAGGACCTGGGGAGAGGGCCTTGGTTGGGGGTTTGTTAAATTGTCCCGGGGTCAAAGGGGAGGAATGCATAACCCTACCCTTGTTTTGAGTGCTTCAGCAGATCCACAGGACACGGATTAGTTTCAATAGTCCTCATGGTAA